AAAATCGTGATTGAAATGGATCAAGCAAGTAAAAATAGTGATAAATTAGAACGAATTGAGATAATGAAATTGGTGCAACAGAAAGATTGAAGAGAATAAAATTGAAAGCCTGTGGTAACGAAAGTGAATTGCAGAATGGTCTGAGAGCCGCTCTGCAACAGAACATGGAGAAGATGAAGAAGAAGAGACGGATGAAGACGATTGTGATCAAAAAATGCACGAGCGCGTGAGTCCTAGTAACAGACATGAACATTTACTAACATTTCGAGATGTTGAAGAGTCTATGAGTGTTTTCAGCGGTGATGATAAAATAAATGTTTGTAACTGTTTATAAGAGTTTGAAGAGATGGCCGAACTTTGTAATTGGACTGATGTCCAAAAAATCATTTATGCCATAAAACTGTTACGTGGTTCAGAAAAATGTTTGTGAATTACGAAAAGTGCTGTAAAATTTGGAGTAAAATGAAAAACAGCACTGGCATTTGAATTTTAACAAATCGTGGACGCGCGTAAAATACATAAAGATTTGTCAAGAAAAACCAAAAAGCTGACTGAAACGTGTTATGAATATATTTATCAAATGTTCGAAACTGTAAAGCAAGTAGATATGGAAAATTCCGACACAACAAAATATATCATTGACAGAATTCAAGATGAAGAAATAAATAAAAACTGTATTATATGGTGCCAAAAATGTTCGCGAGTTGAAAAAATTGAACACTGTATGAGAGGATGAAGGAGAATATGACGGTGAGGGGCAAGCGATCTGAAGAGAAAAAATCGTCGACTCGCAATGAAACGGAGCAGAAGGCTGTGCGGCGTTGTTATCTGTGTGGGGACTGGAAACATTTGGCTGCAGACAGTCCTATGAAGAGTAAAGGCACTAAGTGTTTCAAATTTCAAGAATATGGACATGTTGCTCCAAATTGCAGTAAGTCAAGTAAGTCGTCGGAGGATACATGTAGCGCATCGTATTTGTCACAAAGAAATCGTTGCAAAGAAGTGGAGATAGCACATTCTAAGTTAATTGCTTTGAATGATACAGGTAGTGATTTGTCCTTAATGAGAGCTGATCAATATATTCAGATAGGAGCACCAAAATTAAATAATAGAATTTTAAAATTTCGTGGTTTCGGCTCTGAAAGTAATAATAC